AGGTTAATCTTCCTATTCAAGCCCAGCACGTGCCTATGGCCCCTTTTTCTCTTACTTCCTGTGAAAGTTCACCATAGGTCATCCTTTCATACCTTCAATTTATTCCCTACTGGTTCTTTTCCAACATCCTTGAATATGCCTAAATCATTAAAAAGAAATAACAATAAAAAAATTCTAAAATGCTGTGTTCTTTTTAGCTTTTATCTAAGCTCTCTCCTTCCTCTCCAAAGAGTGGCCTTCACTCTCTAGGGCCAGTTTCTCTCTTTCCATTCCTTCTCAACTTACTCAAACTGGCTTTTGTTCCCACCATTCTACTGAAACGGTTCTCAGCTTTAATCTGACTGAGTTTTTCTATTGTTTTTGAACACTGTGGATCATCCTTCCTTTTTGTAATAACCCATTTGCTTGGCTTCCATGTTACATCTAGAAGTGTACTGGCATGATATACTTTATGCACTTTGAGCATTTTTTTCTCAACCTTTATAATTCCTCTTCCTCTTTCCATACCTGAAACATTGGTGTTTCTCTAGGAATATCTCCTCAGAAGATTGCTCTACACATTCTTTCTGGTTTCAGTTATAACTCACTATGTTTATCTCCAGCACAAAACTCCTATGAGTTTAATTGCTTATGTCCATCTGAGATAAGCAACACAACTTAAAACCAACATGTTAATCTAAAACTGAACTCACTGATTTTTTTCCTTCAAGCTTCCTTCACTTTAATCTCATCACTCTTCTGCTTAAAATCTTCCAATGGCTTCTCATCGGACTTAGAATAAAATATAAATTTCTTCACATGACCTCCAAAACTTCATGGAATGTAGCCCCCCTTAAATTCTCGAACCTTTCCTGGGACTGCCATTCCACTATATTGTAATAAGGAGAACCACAGGCCCCAAAATGGAATCACTCATGCTAATGGCCCTATGTCAGCAAACTGAGATTAATACCCAATCTAACGGCAATTTCAGTCCCCCAGGAATGTAACCTTGAATCAGTCAACGTGCAATTTCCTAGTTAGTGCTAGGAAATTTACTGGTAGTCTCCTTCTGTTCTCTTCAGCAGGATAGCCTTGCATAAAACAATAGATTCTCTGCTAATAATTTCCTTTTTTCCTCTCCATCTCTATTTTTTAAATCTTTCCTTTTCTGCAGTTCAAGGTAGTCTACTTGCCAGAGGGATTCATGAATTGCTTAATAAAATCAGTTAGCTCTTTATATTCACTTGGTTGAATTTTATTTTTGAACAGTATCGTAAGCCTACTGCCTTTCTGTCAGCCTTCACAGAGTCCCAGCCCTTGCCTCACATATGTTATGCCCACCACATGAAATATTCTTTTCATCACTCTTGGCCTGGACTTGTTTCTGCTTGAGTGCCATTACTCAGATACCTCTTTCTTAGTGACTCAATTTAATAAATGTCCTTTTTGATACCTTCCTTATTGTTCTCTTCATCCGTAGTTCTTAGAATGTTTTCTATTTATATATTTATTATAGTGTTTGTTAAAATTCCCTGTATCCTTCCCTGGATTCTAAATCCCATAAGGGAAAGGATCATGCCCTTTGATTTACCGATTTAACCCCAGTCTTAGCCACAGCCTAGTATTCCATAAATAATAAATATATTTGACATGATTGAATTATTTCACTCTAACTAGAATCTGGAAGTCACTTTGACATATGTTTTTACCTTGACTTGTCTGTTCCCTATACCTTCTATATCCAGTTAATACCATATCTTGCATATTTTACTTCAAATTCCTACAATTTGTTTCTTCTTCTCTGTGCTATCATTGCCCTGACCCAAGTTCTTTCCATCTCTTGCCTGGACTACCATGATAGCCCCTGAGCTGGTCACCTGGAACTCCGCTTTATCCCCTCATATTCATCCTCTACACTGCCACCATCATGAGCTAAAATGTAAGTAGGACTCCACCTCACCCCTGTGGAAAACCCTTCAGTGGCTCCTCCTTGCATGCAGCATATAGGACAAATTCTTGCTTAGAGCACAAGGTCCCCAGATAATCTGGTCCCGGTTTACTGCACTAGGCTCATTTTTCACCACTTGGCCTTGCTTACTAAGCTTCAAAAACAGAAAACAGCTTCTATTTCCCATCCCACATTATACATGCTGCTTCACATCCTCTTCCTTGCATATATGTTGTAACATATGTGAAGAAATATCTAACCCATTATCAGTCCAAGTATCTCTTGTCTTCTCTTACATTTAATCTGGCTAATTCATATTCAGTCAAACTTAGTTCAAGTATAATTCTTTCCAGGCAGTCATCTCTGACTCTCCAGATCAGGTTCTGTACCACTGTTTGGAATTTTACAATGTGCATCTTTATTATTTTACTTTACTTAATTGTGTTCAAATGCTTGCCTTCCCCCAAGGTGGTGAGCTCCTAGGAGCACACAGTAGGTATTTCATAAACATCTACTGAATTAATTATAAAAATTAAAGTATAATATTCAAAGTGTATCAGTGCAATTGCTTGTAACATAATAATATCCAATTACATAACCATTTGGTTCACTGCATTTCACTCAATTTCATCCAGTTACTAATCCCTAAGTCCTTCCACTCTGTCAGGTCTGCTTTTCTCAGCAAACTAAAGTTCTGACAACAATCTTCACACACAAAGAATTCAGCATCCTCATTCCTCATTGTATAAGCGGCCTCTATGTGAGTTTTCATTTAAAAAGCTCTGCGAGTGAACATTTTCACGTCACAGTTCTAAGTTCTGAGGTCGATAAAGTTAATTCCCATAATAATTATGAAATAATAATATTATTCTCATAATTCCATTGTTTCTAATTCTTGGCTTCAGTATGCTGTCAGTCTTCCCTTGACATGCATATATATAGCCCATGTTATTTAATAAGAACTATACTGCTTTATTTTAGAAATACTAACATTTTTGAGAAACAGCTCCTTAAAACTTTGATTGCAATCAACAATTCAAACTAATTTTCTTAATCTTTAAACAATGAACAACATTGACCTTTTAGTTTTGATCAGCTTTAGTCACTTTGAGAAATTTTGTTTAAATGACAGTTATGTTACTTAAAGTATGTAATTATGATGATAGATCATTGTTTAATGCCAGCATCAGCCTTTTTATAGTAAAGGTATAAGCTAGAAATGCCTGGGAGCCCTCACCTGGCCCAGGCGAACTTTTCACCATATCCTCCCTTTTCAACCCAATGTTATAACTGGATAGGCCCTTATGATTCTTATTATAATTACAAGATGCCCTTCAGCAAAAATAATCAGGAAACTTTGGAAAATAGGGATTTATTACTTATAGGAGTGGGACATTACACAGCACACCTGTGGTGATACAGCAAGGTGGAAGGTAGAAAGAAAGAGCCCATGGGCTGAAGGCTATACTTTTATTGTGGTCAAGGGTGGGGGACCTAGGGTTATGGGCTCACCCTTTGTTAGTGAATTTAAAATATAAGAGCAGGGAATTTAAAGCACAGAAAGAGAAAAGGACAAGTGACCCAAGTGGTCAGTTATGGAAATCAACTAGGATTTCAAAAGCAAAGGAGCCCTGCTGGGGAATGCGGCCTGGCTCTTTATCTAATCCTGTGTCTGGCAATGTATTTATTCTATTTGAGATAGCAACTTTGAAATGGATGCCCTGGCAATCAAAGCTTAAGTCAGGCACTTGCATTACAAAAAAAGGTAAAAAAAAAAAACCTGTCAGGGTTTTACACTGCAATTATACAATATGAATTCATGTTTCAAAGTATATATATATATACACATGTATACACACACATATGTAGCTCTCTCTATCTATATATGTATATGTACATATATATGTAGTTGCATATGTATACATATGTAGAGGTCTCTGTGTGTGTATATATATGCATGCACACAGAAGCAATTATAGATATGTGTGTGCACATAGATTAGTATACATACAGATATTGCTTAGCTTTGTTCACTGAGAGTGTCTAGAAGCAATGTCATCCCAAAAGCAATGGGGACACACAGCACCAAGATTTGGTTTTTCAATACTGTCCCCCAAGAAAAAGGAAACTGTTTTCTCAGAGAAATGGCTGATCCTAATATCAAGGCAGCAAAAATTCAATTTATGTTACTTTGGAAATATATATATATATATATATATATATAGTGTAATGTGTGATGCATATATGTATGTTTTATACAGAAATGGTATTACTTTTACATACTTCTTTTATTCCTTTAAATGATTGAACAGTTTTATAGTGTATGAATGTAGAATCTGTGGGATTGTTAATTACAAACAATGCCAGCTAAATAACTTCATAATGAATTTTAATGCACTTCTTTAATTACCTTAACAATCTTCTTTTGCAAAATGTTGTTCACTGTTGAAGAGTCCTTGGTCCTTTTCCCTTAACCTACATTCAGTTTCTTAAACTCTGAACTGGAAGTGGTATCTTGTTTTGGCATTTAGTTAAGATTTTGGATTAAATTTTTAATTAATTAACTAATTACCAGTCCATACATGGGCAAAAAATTCATCTCTTTTATACCCAATTATCAACATTACTATAGAGTTTAAAGGATCTTATATAATACACAGGCTAATTTCTTAGTTTATAGATTAGGAAATTGAGAATGAGAATGGTTAAGTGATTTCTCCAGATCATACAGTTGCTAATTATCAACTTTAAAGTTAAAAGTCTAGATTTCCTAAGTCTAAGTTTAGTGTTCTTTCCATATCCAAAAGTACTATCAAGGGAAAGATGCGAAGTTCTCCCCCGGGTTTCTTTACATGATTTGTGTTCATTTAATCCATCCTCAAATAATGAATCTCCAAATTTGTATTCCCCAGCCCCATATTATTGGCATCTATGTAACTGGTGGGATTATTTTTAACACAATAAAAAGCAAATTAGCTAATAAAATGGCCAAAAAATTGCTAGCTGCTTTCAAAAAGGGGAATTGATCTTTTTCTAAATTATAAATTTTTTTCCTGTGTTTATCTCAGACTCAACCTTACCAGGTGGAAGAGTAGTGATCAAATTAAAGGCAACATTGAAAATTCTAAGGAACTTAAGTTGTTGAATTTCAGAAGGGATTTCTTTGATAGGATTATTTCTCAGGATCAGTACTTGTAAATTTTTAAGACAAATTACCTGAGGAACAAAAAAGACAAACAAACATGAGTAGACTAAAAAGTATACAAATCTCTATCTGTTACATTTTATAAACCCCTTGAACTAATGTAGCAGAATCAGTATAACAACATTAATTGGTTGCATGATATATCTCAATAAACACCTTTGGCAAGCCTTCAAAATAACTGGCTAGCATTAATATGTATGATATGGTAGAACAGTGCCACAATTTTTTACCCTTGACTCAAGAATGGCTCTTTTCTAAATGGGAAAGTCATCCTGTGTGACTAAGTGCATGGTTTCATAAGAGGCAGTTTTGCAAAGAATAAGAGAGGAAGAAGATATATGCAGAACCAGGAAAGTAAGTGAAATTAATTTCAGTAATCAGTGGGTCATCAAATATCATAGCCAGACCATTTCACTGATACCACAGTGATTTTGTATATACTGATTTTTCATATGAAATTTAAAAATAGAATATACTATTTAAATCTATGATCTTGATTAATATATTTCCTGATCTCTGGTGAATCTTAATAAGGTCTTACACTAGCTCTCTTTAATATTAAATTAAACCTTTTTATAGTCATAAAGATATAAAATTTGTGGAATAGAGCTTATTCTCACAATCAGGAAGTATTAAGTCCTCCAAGTTTATTTTTCCTTTCCGGATTGTTTGGTCTATTTGGATTCTTTTGCATTGCCATGTGAACTTTACGACCAGCTTTCCAAATTCTGCAAAAAAGACAAGTTGTGATTTTCATAAGGATTGCAATGCATCTGTAGATCAGTTGGGAAGTACTGCCAATTCACAATATTAAGCCTTTGGATCCATGAATTTGGGATGACTTGCCATCTAAGTATGTCCCCTTTAATTTCTTTTAACAATGTTCTGTAGTTTTCACAGTATAAGTTTTCACATTCATTTAACTTACTCCTAAATATGTTATTCTTTTCCATGTAAACAGATTGCCTCCTTAATTTTACTGTCAGGATTATTTGTTGCTAGCATATAGAAATACAACTGACTTTTGTATATGTTCTTGTACACTACAATCTTGCTGAAATCATTCAATAGCTTTTGTTAGTGAATTCTTTAGGATTGCTATATGCAAGACCATGTCATCTATAACTAGAGATAATTTAACTCCTTCCTTTTTAATCAGAATGCCTTTTATTTCTTTTTCTTGCTTAATTGCTTTGGCTAGAAACTCCAGTACAATGCTGAATACAAATTACAGCAGTTGACATCTTCATCTTTTTCTTGGTCTTAGGAGGAATATTTTCAGTCTTTCACCATTAAGTATGATATTTATAGGTGCCCTTTATCAAGTTGAGGGCATCTCTTTATATTCCTAGATATTAAGTGTTTTGGGCATGAAAGGATGTTGAATTTTATAAAATGTTTTATCTGTCTATTGAAATCATTGTACAGTTTTTTCCCCTTCACTATATTAATATGGTGTATTAATTAAGCTGATTAATTTTTTTTTGAGAGGGCATCTCTCATATTTATTGATCAAATGGTCATTAACAACAATAAAATTCTGTATAGGGGACTCAATGAACAATCATTAATCCACCCCCAGCCTAATTCTCGTCACTCTCCAATCTTCTGAAGCATAACGAACAAATTTTTACATGGTGAACAAGTTCTTACATAGTGAATAAGTTCTTACATGGTGAACAGTGCAAGGGCAGTCATCACAGAAACTTTCGGTTTTGATCATGCATCATGAACTATAAACAATCAGGTCAATTATGATTATTCATTAA